GTTCATAGCGATGGTGATCGTGGTGATACCTTAGCTTTGGGATATAATTAATGTATTTCTAGGCATCTAATCGTTGTACAATGCGTCTACCCAAACTGTTTCACTCCTATTGGACAAACTCATATTCCTAATCCCGATATGAGACAAACTTAACAATATCTTCTCGAGCATGAATTGCGAAGCGGGATGAAGGAAATGATAAACAAATAATTCCATTACAGAAATCTTATGCCTAATATTATATGTAATTTGAGTAGATCAGCGCATGCTTTTAATGTAACTTTGTTGAGAATAAGTAACGTAACCTTGAATTAGTTGGAATTTGAATATAATGTTCAATAAAAGAAACAGTGCATGTTGCGTTAGTTGTAGGTATATAATGAAAAGTACAAGAAATTTATTATTACATGCAATTTTGTAAAACAGATCATGAGTACAGTAATGAAGAAAAGAAATACAATTAATTAAATTGTAGGAGAGGAAAACTAAATTGAAGAAATGGTTATGAATTATTGAAGCTAGCTAGTTCAAAGCACCGCAGACTTTTCTAATGATCCCATTTTGACCCGTGAGCGGCTGAATTTCAGACATTTTAATCATGGCTGATGCAAAATTCTTGGAATGCCCGAGAGCTCCTGGCGTACTCTGAAACAATACTGTCAGTTGCTCCACCGCTGAATAGAACTTGATCCGATTGAAGCAGACCTTTCTTTTGCAATAAGTTCTTATAGTAGTTGTTATCAAAGGAATTTGGGGTCACTAAATCAAGGGGTGCCAATTCCCATTTCCGGTGTCCTTTGGACATTTGCGTCTTCTAGTGCTAGCAAAACCGGCATCAATGTCAGTACGGTTGCCGTAAATTCTATCGCGAAATAGGAAGCATTGAGCTTGGCCGAGAGTGTGTGCACCAGACAAGGCAACCATGTCTCTTGTGTTAAGGCCTTTGGTAGCGAAGCTGGATATAAGTGTATCCAAATTTGCGAAAGGGCTGGGAGATCTATGTTACGACTAGCTGTGGTTGAATCTCTTCTTCCCAGCTTCACTGTCCAAGACGGACCTCCCGCAGCAACAGTGGCATCACGTGCAGCCACCGACAATACATCAGCACAAGATACAATACCAGGACAAGCTTCTCTAGCTCGCGCTTGGCAGCCTCTATCACGTCGTAACCCCTGGCAGAGGCATGGTTTGGCAACGCCGTCTTTTCGCTCTTAATGGTTGGTGACTCGTCCAGTAAGATGGAAGCGTCGCAACCTGAACAAAGCAGTCGTGGAAATGGAGACGAATCAAGGAAGCGGCCATGCGACGCTCACGGGACACGGCTTGCCTTACGGCATCGCGAATGATGTTTAGAGCATTAGGGCATGTGTTGTCGTAAAATGTAGGGGATAGCTGCTGCTGCTGCGCTTGGCATTGCGAGAAGGAGGAGGAGAGCAGCAGTAGAAGCAAACACGATAAAGCTGTAGTGTATATATGAGAAAGCCATATGTATATAGAGAAATGGCGCAGGGATTGTAGGTCTGATCTGAAATCAATGATTGGGTTGGTATGATGATTGAGAATGGGAAAGTGGAACGAAGTGTATATACTTGTTGCAGGGAGGCGGTGGCTATTGTTAAATATATATATATATATATATATATACTCCTAATCAGATAAGGAACGATAAAAGGAATATTATATTATATTATATTATTCACTATAATATAGAGAGGGCTAGGGAGAATAAATATTAATTCTAGCTTAGTGTGAATATATATGATTAATAATAACTAATGTTTAGAAATTAAAATTGATGAATATCATGAACGGAACAATCAAGTCATATACTCTAGGGTCCTTTCCCTGTGATCAGGCCGGGTTCAGTTCTTCTCCGTCAATTAGTCTTTTCCCGGCCTTTATATCATTTTTTCATCGACCATATATTCAATGTTATCTTTTTCGATTATTATATAATATATATTTCGACCTTTCGATTATTAAAAATTGTACTTTCTTTTATGGTCCGTACAGCACTGTGTGGACCATGGTCCACAGAATAATTTGTCCAAGTTTTATGTCACTTGATAATTATAAAGCTATATATTCAAGACAAGATGGACACAGTTCTATATTCATAATTAATGAACTATATGTTCATAATTATAAAGCTATATATTCATAAATTTTGAACTTCATATTCACAATTATTGAATCTCTATATTCATATATTACAGAACTATATGTTCATAATTGTGTTCACAACTCTATGTTCATAATCATACACCTATAAGTTCATCATTTTTGAACTATATATTCATAGTTATGAACAGTTTTGGAACTGTGTCCACCTTGCAAGGTGGACACGGTTCCACAGCATAATTTGCCATTTATGAATGTGTATATTATTAAGTTTATTTCATTAATTTGGCTGAAAAATATTTTAATCAGTGGCAGCGATCATTTAGAAAAAATCTTCTTGGAATGCCCGAGAGCTCCTGGCGTACTCTGAAACAATACTGTCAGTTGCTCCGCCACTGAATAGAACTTTATCCGATTGAAGCAGACCTATATGTTCATCATTTTTGAACTATATATTCATAGTTGTGAACAGTTTTGGAACTGTGATATTATTAAGTTTATTTCATTAATTTCGCTGAAAAATATTTTAATCAGTGACAGTGATCATTTAGAAAAAATTTGTTAAAATACTCCACTAATGGATTTAAGTCTTCATATATTCCAAATAATTGGATTGTATGATCAAAAAAAAATTTGTAATTGTGAAAATTAGTTAATTAATTAGGTCCATTATTTTGGAAATTTTGGTATGTCAGCTAGTGATGATGGTATCGAATGCATTCATTGTTTTGTTAGATTTTAAAAAATTCAAGAAAAGGAAATAGATTTAGATGCGCGAAACGCGCACGTGTCTTTCTTTTCCTTCATTTTTCTCTCTCTAATTTGGTGACAAAATGTGTCCAGACATATGACCGCAAATGTTTAAACACATGATCGTTAAGAACATTTGAGGCGCAAAGAGTTGATATCTTGTTTGCTGTCTTCACGATTGCATTTCGCTCCTTGCAAAAATTGGCCATCTACAATGTTGTTTCCTCACTTTCACTCATTCAGCTTTGATCTTTGATTTGTATATGCTCAAGAAAATTTTTATAATTGGGAAATTAGTTAATTAATTTGGTGATTTTGGTATGTCGGCTAGTGATGATAGTTTTGGATGCATTCATTGTTTTGTTAGATTTAAAAAAATTCTAGAAAAAATAGAACTAGATTTACTCGTCCCGTATATGCGTGAAACGCACATGTGTCTTGCTTTTCCTTCGTTTTTCTCTCTCTCTAACGGGATTGAGACGTGTGAGACGATCCCACAAAAGTGTTTGCATTCCTTATGAAATAGAATTTATATTCATCTAAATTTTGTTTCCTCAATCAAGCATGTCCAAAAGGAATAGCATAATTTATCAAGATAATCCTAAGAATATAATAGTTATTTTCCATACAATAACAATAACTCATCTAGTTATCTCTTTGGATACTATACGCAAATTATGCCGTGCAACCGTGTGCACCGTGCATGGTGCATACTGTTGCAAAACGACGCCGTTCCAAATTAAAAAAAAAAAATATCCATTTTTCATTGCCGTTAACGGCGTTAGGCGATTTCCATTCGCATTCAAACATTCTTTTCTCTCTTCGCAATCGCACAGTTTAGAAATTATGAATCTACAGTGTAGAAATTATGAATCTACAGTATTTGATTTGTGAACATGTGATAGAGCTATATGTTCATAAATTTATGAATATATGTTCATGATTACAGAGCTATATGTTCATAATTTTCGATGCTCATATTCCCAATTGTTGAACTCTGTATTCACAACTCACAGAACTATATGTTCATAATTTGTTAACTATACAGTTTAGATATTATGAATCTACAGTGCATAAAATATGAATCTGCAGTATAGAAATTGTGAATCTTCTATATAGAAGTTATGAATTTCTTGTGTTTAAATTATGAATCTACGTTTTAGAAATTATGAACCTACAATATATATTTTATGAATTTACAGCATAGAAATTATGAATCTACAGTATAGAAATTATGAATTGGAACCGTGCGCACCTTGCATGGTGCACACCGCTGCACAGCATAACGTTCCGATAGGGCATTTCACATAAAAAAAAATTAAAAATAAAAAAAAAACTTGTGACGTTTTTTGAAAAAAAAAAAACAAATAATTTGTTCAAATACAATTATTTTTCAAATTGCAAAATATGATTTTATAAATCCGAGTACTTATTATTTTTTTTTTTGAAAAATACAAATCCAAATGATAACTTGGAAACAATTTTGTGTACGAATTATATTGTCTTGCCTACAATATCTGATGAAATCAACAAGAACCAGAAACAATAATATTGGTAAAAATAGAGGTAAAGAATGTAAGATTTACATGGTTCGGCAATGTGCTTACACCCACGAGAGTAAAAAAAAAAAAAAATCGTTCATAGCGATGGTGATCGTGGTGATACCTTAGCTTTGGGATATAATTAATGTATTTCTAGGCATCTAATCGTTGTACAATGCGTCTACCCAAACTGTTTCACTCCTATTGGACAAACTCATATTCCTAATCCCGATATGAGACAAACTTAACAATATCTTCTCGAGCATGAATTGCGAAGCGGGATGAAGGAAATGATAAACAAATAATTCCATTACAGAAATCCTATGCCTAATATTATATGTAATTTGAGTAGATCAGCGCATGCTTTTAATGTAACTTTGTTGAGAATAAGTAACGTAACCTTGAATTAGTTGGAATTTGAATATAATGTTCAATAAAAGAAACAGTGCATGTTGCGTTAGTTGTAGGTATATAATGAAAAGTACAAGAAATTTATTATTACATGCAATTTTGTAAAACAGATCATGAGTACAGTAATGAAGAAAAGAAATACAATTAATTAAATTGTAGGAGAGGAAAAACTAAATTGAAGAAATGGTTATGAATTATTGAAGCTAGCTAGTTCAAAGCACCGCAGACTTTTCTAATGATTCCATTTTGACCCGTGAGCGGCTGAATTTCAGACATTTTAATCATGGCTGATGCAAAATCTTCTTGGAATGCCCGAGAGCTCCTGGCGTACTCTGAAACAATACTGTCAGTTGCTCCACCGCTGAATAGAACTTGATCCGATTGAAGCAGACCTTTCTTTTGCAATAAGTTCTTATAGTAGTTGTTATCAAAGGAATTTGGGGTCACTAAATCAAGGGGTGCCAAATTCCCATTTCCGGTGTCCTTTGGACATTTGCGTCTTCTAGTGCTAGCAAAACCGGCATCAATGTCAGTACGGTTGCCGTAAATTCTATCGCGAAATAGGAAGCATTGAGCTTGGCCGAGAGTGTGTGCACCAGACAAGGCAACCATGTCTCTTGTGTTAAGGCCTTTGGTAGCGAAGCTGGATATAAGTGTATCCAAATTTGCGAAAGGGCTGGGGAGATCTATGTTACGACTAGCTGTGGTTGAATCTCTTCTTCCCAGCTTCACTGTCCAAGACGGACCTCCCGCAGCAACAGTGGCATCACGTGCAGCCACCGACAATACATCAGCACAAGATACAATACCAGGACAAGCTTTCTCTAGCTCGCGCTTGGCAGCCTCTATCACGTCGTAACCCCTGGCAGAGGCATGGTTTGGCAACGCCGTCTTTTCGCTCTTAATGGTTGGTGACTCGTCCAGTAAGATGGAAGCGTCGCAACCCTGAACAAAGCAGTCGTGGAAATGGAGACGAATCAAGGAAGCGGCCATGCGACGCTCACGGGACACGGCTTGCCTTACGGCATCGCGAATGATGTTTAGAGCATTAGGGCATGTGTTGTCGTAAAATGTAGGGGATAGCTGCTGCTGCTGCGCTTGGCATTGCGAGAAGGAGGAGAGCAGCAGTAGAAGCAAACACGATAAAGCTGTAGTGTATATATGAGAAGCCATATGTATATAGAGAAATGGCGCAGGGATTGTAGGTCTGATCTGAAATCAATGATTGGGTTGGTATGATGATTGAGAATGGGAAAGTGGAACGAAGTGTATATACTTGTTGCAGGGAGGCGGTGGCTATTGTTAAATATATATATATATATATATATACTCCTAATCAGATAAGGAACGATAAAAGGAATATTATATTATATTATATTATTCACTATAATATAGAGAGGGGCTAGGGAGAATAAATATTAATTCTAGCTTAGTGTGAATATATATGATTAATAATAACTAATGTTTAGAAATTAAAATTGATGAATATCATGAACGGAACAATCAAGTCATATACTCTAGGGTCCTTTCCCTGTGATCAGGCCGGGTTCAGTTCTTCTCCGTCAATTAGTCTTTTCCCGGCCTTTATATCATTTTTTCATCGACCATATATTCAATGTTATCTTTTTCGATTATTATATAATATATATTTCGACCTTTCGATTATTAAAAATTGTACTTTCTTTTATGGTCCGTACAGCACTGTGTGGACCATGGTCCACAGAATAATTTGTCCAAGTTTTATGTCACTTGATAATTATAAAGCTATATATTCAAGATGGACACAGTTCTATATTCATAATTAATGAACTATATGTTCATAATTATAAAGCTATATATTCATAAATTTTGAACTTCATATTCACAATTATTGAATCAATATATTCATATATTACAGAACTATATGTTCATAATTGTGTTCACAACTCTATGTTCATAATCATACACCTATAAGTTCATCATTTTTGAACTATATATTCATAGTTATGAACAGTTTTGGAACTGTGTCCACCTTGCAAGGTGGACACGGTTCCACAGCATAATTTGCCATTTATGAATGTGTATATTATTAAGTTTATTTCATTAATTTGGCTGAAAAATATTTTAATCAGTGGCAGCGATCATTTAGAAAAAATCTTCTTGGAATGCCCGAGAGCTCCTGGCGTACTCTGAAACAATACTGTCAGTTGCTCCGCCGCTGAATAGAACTTTATCCGATTGAAGCAGACCTATATGTTCATCATTTTTGAACTATATATTCATATTTGTGAACAGTTTTGGAACTGTGTATATTATTAAGTTTATTTCATTAATTTCGCTGAAAAATATTTTAATCAGTGACAGTGATCATTTAGAAAAAATTTGTTAAAATACTCCACTAATGGATTTAAGTCTTCATACATTCCAAATAATTGGATTGTATGATCAAAAAAAAATTTGTAATTGTGAAAATTAGTTAATTAATTAGGTCCATTATTTTGGAAATTTTGGTATGTCAGCTAGTGATGATGGTATCGAATGCATTCATTGTTTTGTTAGATTTTAATAAATTCAAGAAAAGGAAATAGATTTAGATGCGCGAAACGCGCACGTGTCTTTCTTTTCCTTCATTTTTCTCTCTCTAATTTGGTGACAAAATGTGTCCAGACATATGACCGCAAATGTTTAAACACATGATCGTTAAGAACATTTGAGGCGCAAAGAGTTGATATCTTGTTTGCTGTCTTCACGATTGCATTTCGCTCCTTGCAAAAATTGGCCATCTACGATGTTGTTTCCTCACTTTCACTCATTCAGCTTTGATCTTTGATTTGTATATGCTCAAGAAAATTTTTATAATTGGGAAATTAGTTAATTAATTTGGTGATTTTGGTATGTCGGCTAGTGATGATAGTTTTGGATGCATTCATTGTTTTGTTAGATTTAAAAAAATTCTAGAAAAAATAGAACTAGATTTACTCGTCCCTTATATGCGTGAAACGCACATGTGTCTTGCTTTTCCTTCGTTTTTCTCTCTCTCTAACGGGATTGAGACGTGTGAGACGATCCCACAAAAGTGTTTGCATTCCTTATGAAATAGAATTTATATTCATCTAAATTTTGTTTCCTCAATCAAGCATGTCCAAAAGGAATAGCATAATTTATCAAGATAATCCTAAGAATATAATAGTTATTTTCCATACAATAACAATAACTCATCTAGTTATCTCTTTGGATACTATACGCAAATTATGCCGTGCAACCGTGTGCACCGTGCA